CATGACCGAAAGGCCACAAAAGCCCGTATGCAGACGGTAGGACAGAAAAGACCTTTATTAAGTGGTGTTTTGGCAGATTTGATTAATTGATTTTGAGTTGCGAAAATCCCCATACCTCTATTCAGAAGGCAAGGTGGCGTGCGAACGTCCGGCCAATATACGAACTTCGCTAATTTCGTACTACTCCAAACAAACGGAAGCTAGTCACGTGTTTGGCACAGAGAGCTTGGAAAATTCGTTCAACAGATAGTATCGAGGAGGAACTTAGAAATATCCAGGACCACCTCAATGTGCATCTACTCATTCACTTGCTCCTGTGGAACAGGTTATATTGGTCGGCACCTTTCCAAAAGAATACGAGAACACCTTCGCGCACGGCTTACAAAAGGTGAAGCTAGGAGAATATACAATGCCATCCTTGCGCATGCAGTGGATTCAGGGCATCGTGTGGGTCCCGCTGAAGATTTTCGTGTAATTTATAAGGTCCCCTCGAGCTACCCTAAGCTACTGGGCCAGCATCTGTTAGCAACATCAGAAGCGGCCGCCATAAGGTTACGAAAACCGACCCTATGCTCCCAGAAAAACTTTATTCCGGCTCCGCGCTTACCGTTGTAAAAGGTTGACTAACCACATACACTTTTCTGCTCCCTTCCGCTCCTAACTACCCGCTATTTTAAAAATTCAATGATATTTTGGCAGATTTTAAATAATTAATATTGACCCAACTGTGAAAAACTCGGCGCCTCGGTGGGATTCGAACCAACGCAGTAAGGGGGAAGGTTTTAGTACAGCCAACGCTCTAACCACCTGAGCTACGAGGCCCCGCCGGACGACGCGAGTTTTATCACACTTGGGTCAAGTTACCCGCCCAACCTACTGCAACGTCTGGAATCCACCAAATCTGATACAGTAAGTTGACTGCCCAAGCAGGATTTCCTAAGTAATTCACCTAGAATCCACCAGATGACTACTAGGCTCACGTAATTCATTGCTATTTTGGCAGATTTTAAATTTAAAATTTAAAAAATTAACTGTAATCGTTTTTTTTCGCTCACTCTACCCCTTCCCATATAACTGTACTGGCCTGATAAGAAGTTATCGAAAGCAACGTTCGCTCGCCACCTTGTCTTCTGAATTCATTTTAACCTTACTCGGCGACAGCCGAGGTCCTAACTCAAGGTGCATCACGCAACTTTCCAGGAGCGGAAGCCCATGTACTGGTACCACCCTATACAGAGACGGCAAGGAAAAACTACCAGCTCAGACCACCTCTGTGTGTATTTACTCCTTCACCTGCTTCTGGAGGGCCGAATATACTGTTCAGACGAGTCGACGTTTGTGCAAAAGCATAACAGAATATCTTTCAACATGGTTAGGTAGGGGTCAGGCAAAGAACATTAACAGTTCTATTCTCGCGCATATGGTAGACATAGGCCAGAGAGGCCTTGCAAATGATTTACGCAGTTCTGTCAAGCCATCCAAAAGTACCTAGATAGCGTCTGTTAGCTACGGCGGAGGCGGTTGCGATCGGGCTATGGAGACGGGTCCTGTGAGCACTTCATACAGGCGCCACAGTTGTCAGGGTTCCAAGCCACCAAGCCAGCCATCCGCATATACTTACATTCCATAGTGCCCACCATCCCTCCCTGGCATTGACTGTAGTTTTGTTTTTCCCTTGCCAAACCCTAAATAAGGTACTATTTTCTACTTGCCCAATAGTTAATTCAATAGCAACAGGCCCGAAGATAATTTGTCAAACTCTGACGTGTGCATGACAAACTGTCTTTTGTAAACTTATTTATCTTAATTACTTTCGGTTAGATGTGGACCTGGTTGGTGCAGGCTACTGCGAGCAGGATCCGTCGTACTTTATTCAGGCCGCAGACATAAACTGGATATACCTAATCGCCAACGGTAGTATATGGAGAGAAATAAAACACCTATTTACTTCAACTGACCAATGTTTGTTTACAAAGAAAAGTGTCTTACTTTCAATTGCTGTTTCGTCCCATGAGTAGGGCATGATCAGTTGGACTTAGTCAAAGTCTTCGTTTGCAAAAATAGAAAAATGCAGATTACCTTCGCAGAGGCATTGCTTTCCTAAGCAAATGAAGTATGCAAACTAAACACTTTTGTGTTTGTGCCCCTCACGCGAAAGCGAAAATAAAGCCCACACAGGGCTCACTGGCTTAAATGTGTCAGCTAGGACCAGTTTACGTTGTCTTGTGCGGATTAGAAATCCCTTTATGTCTGACTACTAACGTCAACGTAAGTTACGAGTGGTCTTTGTCGATCACTTATGTAACTGCAGGAAGTAATTGGGCCACCCACCGTTCCCATTATAAGCCAGCTAAAAGTCCAGATAAGTGCTTATCCGAAATTTTCGCATAATTGCATTTTAGAGTCTCCCTTCATCAGTTGAAAACTAGCGACGCAAGACTTTTTTCGAGTGTCAAAACGCCTGTTAACAATTGCTCAAGTTCTAATAAAAAACCCATTCACGGTGCAATCTTGCGGCTCACTCACTACTTTTTATTTGTTTGACGTCAGTAACCCGGCGATATTAATTTTTTTCGAAGAATTGGTGGTCGTATATTCTACAGTTTACTCGATCTCCTCGACGTGGACCCAAGTTAGCAATATAACCTAGTACATCCACAGAGAGGTTGCATTTTCAAGTAACCTGCCCACCTCAGAAAACGAGATGGGTTCTAAAAAACAGTTTAGTCTCGGGAGATTGGCAAAGTAGGGCCGCACGAAGACACATACCACAACTTCGCAGTACGCATATTTTTTAATCTCAGTCAAGCAAATTGGTTGAAACTTTCAGCTGTTTATAGGGCTGTACATTGTGTGCTTTGGTCTCATATACTTTCGGGTAGAACTTGGCATTTTTCTGTATATCCTTAGGTTAGGAAATTTCCATTTGTAGTGCCTCTTCTACGATTATCTTGGGGACAGTAAACGTTTATGCGTCAACAGTCTGTTAGTACATCTTAATGTCGTCCGAACTTGCAGTTTTAATCGAGCGAATTTGGCTGAAGTAGCATCGCCAAAGTGTACATCCGGCAGAAGCTATGCCTTGGGATATATGTCAAACCTCATTTAATTATCCGTCGAAAATAATTCCGCTAACTGGGGGCATAAGCACACAGTTCGACTGTCGTTGCCGATGATGTCCACCGTGTGTTTCATTAAAATGTGGAGCAGACACGGTGATTTGCGCGTGAATTAGTTTCTAGTGATAGCAGACTTGCGCAGAATCAACGACACTTTCTCTTATCCCACTCCCCACCTGGACCCGGTGTCTGGATAGAGTCAAGAAGACCGGAGACGGGGTAGGGCGCAGGTAGATGGCGCAGTCGAGTCCGCACCATGGCCTCCCATCCCCTACCCCCTGATCTACACAGCAAATAACCAGGTTTTTGACCAACAACAACCCCAAGCAGGGTTCATAAGGACGATGGTAACTTGGCGGCCATGCCAACCACCTGTATACCAAGCGGGAACGCGAACGCATCGACCGGCAGGGAACCAGGTGTCAGGGAACTGCTAGCGCATACCAGACTGCGATGGGCACGGTTTGCTGATACGGGCGTAGCACATGCTTACAGACCTTTTGACACTGGGACATACAAGAGACAGTCATGCAATCGATTTCTTATCTAAAGCAATAAATAGCCTCTCAACAAGTAGTGACCCCTTACGATCAATACTGGTCCTCGTTCTTAATCCCCCGATCTGCGACAGATGGGTTTTCACCGAAGTGTGGCATATCTTGGCACCCGCTTCTGGCATTCATTAGGCCGATCCCACCAATGAGATGGCTCATCGGCTGACGGAGATGCACGGATTCGTCAAGGCCTCTCTTGTCGCACTTTCGACTACTTCGGCTTCTCCTGCATCTTCCCTCTTCGACACGAAGCCACTAAGAACGAATCTTATACGAGATTACGCAAAGAATGAGATGTCTGATGAGCTGACCAGGCCTTCATCATCCATACTCCAGTTTTCACATTGGCTCGTCCTTACGGTCATGACACGACAGTTCGACCGTCGATTTCGACGATGTCCACCGTGTGCCCCACAGCTGCAGCAGCGGTGGGGGCAGGGACGGTGACTTGCGCAGGGGTTTATAGTGCCAGTAGACTTGCGTAGCATCTACCTACACTCTCTCCTCCTCCCCGGCCTGGGCCCGGTGTCAAGACAGAGTCAAGAAGACCGGAGACGAGGGAGACCGCAGGTGGATGGCTCGGACGGATCCTCACCTTGGCATTCCACCACACCCCCTGGTCTACACAACAATAACCAGGATTTAAACCAACACAACAGAGATTTGGAGGCTGGCACGGCCGAAGCCGCACCTAGGCGTGCCGCCAACGCCTGGCTCGGATCCCACGCTGTGGTGGGAATGCCATAAAGGCCACATTAAAAAGGAGCCATTGCAGCCTGACTCTCAGACCGCCTCCCGTTAAGGAGGAGGTCCAAGGTACCCCGTCAGTTGGCAACCTTCCAAGCCACGGCTTTTAGCGCACCGTGATAGCTTCAAGCGCGTCAGATTGTTTATAGTGAGGAAAATGCGCTGAGTCGTCGACCTCACTCTCCCGCAACCTTCCAAGCCACGGCTTTTAGCGCACCGTGATAGCTTCAAGCGCGTCAGATTGTTTATAGTGAGGAAAATGCGCTGAGTCGTCGACCTCACTCTCCCTTCCCGTTCCCACACCCCAGCCACTGTCCGAGCCGGTCAGCAGACTGGAGTGGGGAATGGGCGCGGTGGCTGACATGGTTGACTGACCATGCCTGCGCGCGCCACAGCACGACCTGGCCCCCCATACACACAAACATCAGGATTTCACACAACGGGGGTAGAACGGCGTGTCTTCCACTTGCGTGAGAGTGCCGTGGAAGGTGCTGTTTCAGCCCGTTCCCGGCCCACCAGTCCGCCACTCCACACAACACACACACACAACGCGACGAACTGCGTAAACCGAGAGCGGGCGTCAATCAGCAACCTTCCTATCCACGACGCTTGACGTGTCGGGATAGTCTCGAACACAAGTCACCCGTGCATCCAAAGCCGCATGGGGACCGAGTCGAGATGCACACTTACCACTTGCGTGGGAGGCGGCAGTTAAGTGCATGAGGTGTGTAGGGGTTGATGTCTGATGGGGTGATGGTGTTAGGAGGTAGGGAGTGAGGGAATGTGTGGTGTGACCAGCGGTTGTCCACCGCAGGTCGTCGTGGATGCGCATGTGGCCGAATAGACCCATGCGATGCGTGAAGGTGCGAGTGCAGTGTGGGCAGTGGAGGCGAGTGCGGTGGGTGTAGGTTGGTGCTCCAGGCACTGGTTCGCCAGTCTCTGTGCGATGGATTCGCAAGTGACCCACCAGGCCGATGCGTGAGGTGAAGGTGCGTGGACAATGTGGGCATGAGAGGTCGGCGGTGTCGGTGCCAGCTGTAGAGGAAGCGGTGGTGTTGGTGGTGGTGGCGGTGGTGGTGGTGGTTGGCGCGTGTGACGGTGGAGCGAGGGTGCGTCTGGGCGTGGTGGATATTTTGGATGTCGTGGCTGTATCGGAATTGTGGTCAATTCCGCTCTCGTGGATGCGCATGTGGCCAAATAGACCCATGCGATGCCTGAAGGTGCGAGGGCAGTGTGGGCAGTGGAGGCGAGTGCGGTGAGTGTAGGTTGGTGCTCCAGGCACTGGTTCGCCGGTCTCTGTGCGATGGATTCGCAAGTGACCGACCAGGCCGATGCGTGAAGTGAAGGTGCGATCGCAGTGAGGGCAGATGTAGCCCTGGCCCTCACGTCTGATGATGGATGTTGCAGGGCTTGTGCCTGTTGTTGTGTCAGGTTTGGCTGTGGTGAGGTCGTGGGCGACAGACGCCGAAGCGGCCGTCGTTGTGGCAGTGAAGGAGGAAGAGGAGGAGGAAGGGGAGGAGTGAGGGGTGGTAAGGTCGGTGGCGTCAATGTCGGCTGTGGAGTGGTTAGTGGGTGCGCAAGGTGGTGGTTTGGGAGTGGGGCTTGGCGGGGTGGGTGTGTCAAGGCTGCGGTCAATTCCGCTCTCGTGGATGCGCATGTGGCCAAATAGACCCATGCGATGAGTGAAGGTGCGAGGGCAGTGTGGGCAGTGGAGGCGAGTGCGGTGGGTGTAGGTTGGCGCTCCAGGCACTGGTTCACCAGTCTCTGTGCGATGGATTCGCAAGTGACCGACCAGGCCGATGCGAGAGGTGAAGGTGCGGTCGCAGTGAGGGCAGGTGTAGTCCTGATCCTCATCACTGGAATCTGGAGGGGTGGGGGTGGTTGTGGTTGTTGTGTCGTGGTTGGCGATGTGTGAGACGGCAGCCTGAACGGCCTCCGCTGGGGCAGTGGAGGAGAAGGAGGAGGATGGAAGTGGTGGTGCAGAAGGAGTGTCAGAGTTAGTTGGCGGAACAGAGGAGGAAGAGGCGGGCGGGGGGACGATGGCTGAAGCAGTTCGAGAGGTGCAGTTAATTCGGAGATGTCCAACAAGACCGATTCCTTCCCGGAATGTCCGTTGACATCGAGGACACGTAGGTGGAGGTTGTGCGGCCGCGTTGCTTACTGGGCGAAGTTGTGATTTGCGGGCTTCGCGTTTCGCTTTGGCGGCGGCGATTCGGTTGGCTTCATAGATAGCAGCTCCCGTCTTCACTGTTCTCCTCCATGTCGGACGATCGCGAGCGAGCTCTTCCCAGTTGGTCGGGTTGATTTGCAGGCGCTTCAGGGAGGACTTCAGAGTATCCTTGTAACGGCGAATTTGGCCTCCTTGACGACGAGAACCCGTCGCGACGTCTCCGTAGAAGAGTCGTTTGGGTAGTCGCTCGTCGTCCATGCGCACCAGGTGGCCGCTCCAGCGCAGCTGCATTTGTCCGTCGCGACGTCTCCGTAGAAGAGTCGTTTGGGTAGTCGCTCGTCGTCCATGCGCACCAGGTGGCCGCTCCAGCGCAGCTGCATTTGTTTCAGTATGGCGTAGATGCTGAGGATTCCCGTTCGTTCCAGTACTTCCGTGTCGGGGATTCGATCCTGCCAGTTCAGCCTCAGGATGCGACGGAGACAACTGAGGTGGAAGTGGTTCAGTCGGCGTGCCTGTCTCGTGTACACCGTCCATGTCTCCGCTCCGTACAGTAACGTCGGCAGGATGACGGCCTTGTACATCTTCAGCTTTGTGCTCAGTTGGAGACCATGACGATTCCAAACTGTGCTGTGGAGGCGACCGAAGGCTTGACTGGCTTTCGAGATCCTGTTGGCGACTTCGTCGTCAATATTGGTGTTGCGGGAGAGCGTGCTGCCCAGGTACGGGAAGTTCTCTACCACTTGCAGTTGAGTCCCATTCACGTTGATTTGCGGCGCGTTGGGGGTTGTGGCTGAGTTGGGAGGCGGCTGATGCATCACCACCGTCTTCTGCGTGTTGATAACCAGCCCAAAGTTCTCGCAGGCGTCGGCGAATAGGTCCATGCTCCGTTGCAACTCCGCTTCGGAGGTGGTGTTCAGGGCGCAGTCGTCGGCGAAGAGGAGTTCGTGCACGGTGGCTGTGGATACACGCGATTGGAAGTTCATGCGCCGTTGACTCAGGAGACGACCGTCCGTCCTGTAGGCGATGCGGATCCCGGGGCGTTCGTCGCGGTAGGCGTCCATCAGCATGGCAGAGAACATGAGACTGAAGAGGGTAGGCGCCAGCACACAGCCCTGCTTCACTCCGTTGGTCACTGCGAATGCCTCTGAGACAGCTCCGTTGTCCGTGACTCGCGCCATCATACCGTCGTGCAGCTGACGCACCATCTGAGTGAATCGCTCCGGACAGCCGAATTTCTGCATGATCTTCCACACTCCTTCACGATTCACCATGTCGAAGGCTTTCGTCAGGTCCACAAAGGTAGAGTACAGGTGGGTCCGCATCTCCTGGCACTTCTCCTGAAGTTGACGGGCTGCGAAGATCATATCCGTGGTCCCACGATGACGACGGAAGCCGCATTGGCTTTCCGGCAGAAGGCCCTGTTCCAGATGGTTATTGAGGCGGTTGAGCAGGATGCGAGCGAAGATCTTCCCGGCGATGTTCAGTAGGGGATGCCGCGGTGATTGTCGCAGACTTGGCGATTCCCTTTTCGCTTGTAAAGGTGCAAGATATTTGCGTCCTTGAAATCTTGCGGGACTTCACCTTGACGCCACATCTCCTGGAAGAGCGCAGTCAGGTGATCCATCAGTAGCGGACCTCCGTGCTTGTAGACCTCAGCAGGGATTGCGTCCGATCCGGGTGCTTTCCCGCTGGAGAGTTGCTGCACGGCCCTGATGGTTTCCTGGAGAGATGGCGGGAGGTCGAGGTCCGCGTTGGTCTCCACTTGCGGCAAGCGGGCGATGGTGGCGTCGGAGATGACGGAAGGGCGGTTGAGGACGCCTCGGAAGTGCTCGGCCCATCGCTGTAGGATTTGTGTCTTCTCAGTCAGGAGAGTGCTGCCTTCGGCGCTGAGGAGAGGAGCAGTGCCCTTCGTCGGCGGACCGTAGACAGCTTTGATCGCGGAGAAGTTCTTCAATCCGTTGCGGTCCGCGTAGCCTTGGATCTCCTCAGCTTTGCGAGCAGTCCAGGCGTCCTGCATCTCGCGCAGTCGTTGCTGAAGCTGTCGGCGACTGCGGTAGAAGGCAGCTTTGTTGTCCTCAGTGGGGTGATCTACGTAGGCTTTGTGGAGGCGGTTCTTCTCAGCAAGCAGATTTCTGATGGCGGCGTCGTTGTCGTCGAACCAGTCCTGGTGTTGGCGGGAAGCGCGACCGAGTACGGCAAACGCCGTCGACTGGACCGTGTCTCGCAGTTGACACCAGCGGTTTTCCACGGAGGTGTTCTCGGCAGCGGCGGCGGCGGCGTCGTCGTCGGCGGCAGCGATAGGAAGGTTGTCTAGCCGTTGAGCTAGCTCGTTGCTGAAATGGAGACGATGAGCAGGCAAAGACAACAAAGCAACATTCAGCTTACCTGGGGGTCGCTTACCTTGTGGTCTCCTGCGAGGCTGTAGGCGAATACGCATCTTCGAGATGACGAGGCGATGGTCGGTCCACCCGTCAGCACCCGCGATCGCCTTCGTCACCAGCACGTCCCGCTGATCTCGCCTCCGGACGAGGACATAGTCCAGCAGGTGCCACTGACGCGACCGCGGATGCCTCCAGGTGGCCTTCTCTCGCTCCGGCAGACAGAAGAACGTGTTCGTCAGGATGAGGCGGTGTTCTGCGCAGCTGCGGAGGAGCAGCAGGCCGTTGTCGTTGGAGCCGCGGAGACCGTGAGGACCCAGCACTCCCCTCCAGGCAGTATGGTCTGTGCCGACGCGGGCGTTGAGGTCACCAAAGACAATCAACTTGTCCGCCTTCGACACAGTCGCCAAGAGGGCGTGCAGGTCCTCGTAGAATTTGTCTCTGACGGCGTCAGGGTTGGTCATGGGCGGAGCGTAGGCGCTGATGATGGTGGCGAATTTGCGTCCTCGCCGGAGAGGCAGGCGGAGGCTCATCAGACGGTCGTTGATTCCTTGCGGCAAACAGGGCAGTCGTCCCACGATGTCGGTCCGGATCGCGAAGGCGACGCCCGCGTCTCGTCGCTCTGCCCTGGGTCGACCACTCCAGAAGAAGGTGTAACCGGCACCCACCTCCTCCAGTTGGCCTTGTTCGGAGAATCGGGTCTCGCTGAGTGCGGCGATGTCCACCTTGTAGCGCGCCAGTTCTCGTGCCACTAGCGCCGTCCTCCGTTCCGGTCGGTTGCTCCTCGGATTGTCTAAAAGGGAACGAACATTCCAGGCTGCCAGAGTGAGCGGGCTCACCCTGTCAGTCTGGGGAAAACGAGTGGGGCGACGGGAAGGAGGTGGAGAAGAAGATGACGAAGGAGAAAAATAGGCAGAAGAATAGACGGAGATAGAGGTAGAAGAGGTAGGATGAGGAGAAGGAGTATGGTTGTTGTTGTTATTATTGGTATTGTTGTTGTTTCGGTTTTGAGTGTTTCGACCATGTTTAGACGTCTGCGGCCCTGGCTAGCCTGGAGACGGCGTGGTGCCCAGCAATGTTTAGGCCACCTTTTCTAGGCCCTCCCCCGTAATGGGGACAGGCAGTCCCCCCGAATCGGGCTGCCTGTGTGCCTGTTTGGCGCGACCGAATCCCACTATGGGACCACGACTTTATGCTTGTAGTGGAGAACGACCGCATATGCCGAGGTCTGCGGTCTCCGTCGGCGTAGGTGGGCGCGTCTCAGCGAAGGCGATGCGGGGACCCATCCCGGCAGCAGCTGCCCAACGGCGTACCAGGCAGAGCCTCGTCTCGACGACGCCGGCGCAACGTTTCATCCGACCAAACGTCCAGCGGAGCCCGCAGTACACTGTGCACGCGGCACAAGCGCACAGCGCCCTCACCTGGTTTAACCCGCCGGTCGAGGCGGTTGCCCGGGGTGTGGCCGCTGAGCAGAGCCCAATACGTGGAGCCACAGGTGAGAGTTGGGTGCCAGCAAATGGACGCTAGGCGTAGTCTCACCTGCAAGCAAGTGAGCGACCACTACGACCTTCACGTGAACCCACCGCTGGACACCCCTACACCCCACGGTCATGACAGTTAAGTAATGACGGGTTTGTTGTTCTAGCGAGGAATTATTTAGAGTTCTCCGCCTCATGGAGGTTCTTCTGGCCCCTTGTGCGACACGTGCCTTTGTCCCATGTCAACTCCTTCTTGGACCTTCTTCACACCGCTTAAATGGGTCGATATCCTTTTAATTTCCTCATGAATTCTCCCACACTGTGATTCGTGCCTCTCAAAAACTCCTCACGCAAAGGTTCGTATGGGATGGCTTGAACGACAACGTCAGAGCTTGAGTACAGGCGTGTTAGTGTTCACAGCGGATCAAGGAGTGAAGCCAAAATAAATTTCCAACAGGAATCTTCTCCAACGCCGACCCACGACTCAGCTATGTTCAACTTGATGTCGTAAGTCCCTTGCCTCCATAAAATGACAACACTTACCTCCTTAATCGCGCCTGTCGGTGCAGCCGCTACCAAGTGAGGAGGCAGATACCACCGTCAAGACTTGCGCCAGTAGTTGGGCAACAATGTTCGGTGCCTCATCCCAATTACGATTGATCGAGAAGCCCAGTTCGAGTCCACGCTCTTCTAGGCCCTGCTAGCCTTTATTGGCAGCACACGCATTCGAACGGAAGCCTACTATACGATAGTCCACGTCAGGGTCGAACATTTCTCCGGCCAGTTGAAGACCGCTCTGAGTGCCGCAGATGACGCACCGACCCGTCTCAGACTTATCGGTATTCGCGCGGCAATGAAGTCGGATCTGAACTCTGCTACAGCTAAATTGATGTTCGGCAGTACCCTTTACTGCCAGGCGAGATGGTACCCAAACTTGTCGCAGTGCCAGGGAGATTGCCGACAATTTTGTACAATGCCTCCGACAATTTTTACGTTCTTGGCCTCCGGTTCCTCTGCAAATTCCATTGATTGAATCTTATGTCGAGAAATGTCTGGCCGACTGCACTCAAGTGTTCGTTAGGTGTGACCGTGTGCCCGAATCATTGGGAGCACCAAAAAAGGACAGTTCTGAGTATTCCCACACAACAGCAAGACGTGTTGGAGCATTCGCGGTGACAGGAATGGTATAGTCAGTGTCGGCTAGGTCAAAACTTCTACCCGAGAGAACCAGCTGGGCTTTATCCACGGAGAAAATGCGGTGACACCTGACCTCCAAGCTCTACACTACCTTGTACTCCTTCAACCCCACCTTCCCTCATCGCCTCTGATTGCAACTAAGCCAATGCACTGATATCTGCACAGCTACGTAGCGGTAGACCATCGTATCATTCACGTTCATATATTGGCATCGCATCTTCGGCTTCCTTCTCAAGCCGACCTTGGGTCTAGGCTGGGAGGTAGTGTGGAGATTCGCTACTGCGGTCCTCAGCGTGCCGTTTACAAATGACGCCTTTGGCTCGCCTAGCACAGCTATCAACCACTGCTCCGCGTGTGTGACTCGGCTTCGGCTCGAAGACGCAGAGTGATATCTTTGCCTTCATCGATTGGCCGTTGCCGCACAAATCTCAGCCGCAGGTACACATTTCGCGCCTGGGCGTGCAACTTAAACGACTGATACGACTAGTTGGGGATTCTAAAAGTATAAATCTAGAGCTTGTTTAAGTAAAAAAATTAAAAAGGGAATATAAATCATTTTGAAATGAAATTTGATAGTACTGGCAGTATGATCCAAATATAGGAGGTTTATAAGTGTACAAGAGGAATAATATATCGGGTAAAATCTGAAGGATTTGGCTCTTTTTCGACAGAGATGGGGGTTTATCATGCCATAAATCTACTTACTCGCACATAGGCAAAAGTTATATGTTCCTTAGAATATAAAGGAGTGGGATATCTTACTTGCGTATCTCTCCACATTCCACATTTGAATACGTCATTGTTTTCTCTCTGCAAGCTGTGCAGCAAATTCTGTCAATGTTTCTAACGGTCCCTGATTGGGTAAATTTAAATGACGACTTTAACAAGATTTAATTAAATAAGACTGTCTGTTTCAACCACCAAAGTTGCATCACCCATTGTGAATTCTTTCTTTTTTTAAAGTAGTTATGAATAGGGTCATCAAAGCCGATGGCGGTCCAGTCTGGCCTGTCTTTGCAGGCGATATAGGTCGGTTTTATTTTTAAACAACTCTGTATATCTCTTTCTGTGCCCAGACCACGCTGGTGGTTAGCTCGAAGACCATAAAAGCGCAATTAAAGTCGGAAAATCAGGGGTTGCTGATAAAAGCGTTTGGAGGCTGAGGATGGGGACACGAGTGCGGTAGATAAATGCTAAAAATAATTGTATGCGAAATTTGCTTTGAGTGGCGAGCCAGAAGTATGTACTAGTGGAAGGATTCTTAATGAAGAATGTTCTGTGCCTTAACCTCCTTTGAGATAATGCGCGTAAACTTTAATCGCCGTGGACTGGGACTAACTTTAAATAAAAGACCTACTCCTCCGTAAAGGACATTTTCGGAAAGAATATATACATAACCTTAACAATATCAGTTGCTAGAGTGAGTTAGAAGTTATGCAGGCTATAAATCTGAGTGCTCCTGTCCTGCCTCAAGGTCCGTAAACTCTTTCCCACTTGGCGTACCCCGGAAGTCATAGCTTCACAAGTTCCGTCCCACCCCAAAAGCTGGATTAATGAGCTGACCTACTGATGCACAGAAGAACCATTACTGGTGCCAGCCGCGGTCGCGGGGGGCCAGAAAAGGATTGTGGTGTGCGGACGACGGCGAAAGTTTTGCCCTTATACTCTTGTCGGTACCGACATGGACGGTGGATTGAGGCGTAAGCTGTGCGCAAGGGAAGATCTTCTCGTGACATTTACTAGTTTGCCAATAGTTAAAGCGCCTAAATGTACTTTTGCGAATTAAGGGGGGGGGGTTGCTTGACAAAAGAGAAAATTAGTTCCTCTGACGACATTCATTTATAAATACAGCACTAGACGGCAATGACAGAACAGGGCAAAACATAGATGACGAAGGGAGAAACCTCATAGAGGACACCGATTCGACCATCGACAAGTTGCAATGCCAGTAAAAATGATTGAACTAGCTTTTGCTTAATGAAATTAAAGAAATCGAACGTTTTGCCGGGTATGAAGATATGGAAAAGCATTGACTTTAAACCTCGCGATGACGACCATATAGAAAAGTGCTATGATTGGTCGGAGATTTCGGATTTTTTTGCTAGGGGTGAACTGAACAAGCAGGCAAACTAAAAGCAAATACTTAGTTATTTCTATGAATATTCCCATGTTACACTTATAAGGTCAATTTGGCAAACACGTGATTTCGGTAACTCGGAATTTGACCCTAAATTTGGAACGTACGAGAAAAAGAAGGTAGCAGCATAGCTCAAATGAAAACCAAAGTGAACCCAATATAACCGTGAAATAAAAATGTTCAGACAATTTTTATGCGAAGAGGATAACCACGAATTTCAGAATATGGGGACTGGCCTAATTCACGTCCCTTAGATTAGGGCGATATAGCAAGGCATTTTTTGATAGATAAGGTTTCAAAAGAGAAATATTTTAAATAATTAGAAAGACAAATCTAAAGTGATCATTAGACAAAGACTTAGGGATCAATAAAACTGGCACTCTTGAAGGTACTCAATAATCCCATGCTTTCTTCTAGAAAGCCAGTAACCACTGGCCGTCAAACTTCACAAGAATTTCAAGCCAACTCCCACAATTTTTTGCATTGTTGCCCATCTGCATGTACAAGTTTTGGAGGAGTTTTACGGAGTTCATGTCACATCTTCGTATCCTACTCGTTCGTTTTGCCCCAGGAACAAATGCCCTGCGACGTAAAGCACTCCGAATGTATGTCACAGAGGAGAAAGGGAAGAAACGGCGTGGCCAACTCCGGGGCCTTCACCACTGCGGCGCTTCAGAGCATGCCTTACTATCATAAATCTGACGCGCTTTGAAACGATCACGTTGCGCTAAAAGTCGTGGTTTGGAGGGCCGTCAACTGACGAGGTTACCCGCTCCATGAGGTCAGTCCTGTGGATGTTGGTGTATTTGTGGTCGCCCATGAGGGTGCCCTACCGATGCACTGGGAGTCAGACTGCAATAGTTCCCACTTAGTGTGACTTCATACTCCGCGGGATCCGAGCCGCCGCTCCCCCTTTCCCCAATTTGTAAAATCCTAGTGAGTGTACGTTGTGGACCGGAGGGTGTGGTGGTACACTTAGGTGCGGATTTTCGCCGTGGCAGACACCTGCACCCTATTCCACCTTCGGCCTTTTTGACTCCGTCTTGACACCGGATCCAGGTGGGGAAGGAGTGTTGTAGATGCAGCACAAGTCATATATAATTTTAAACTGGCTCACGCGCAAGTCATCGTCTCCGCTCTCATCCTGCTCTAGAGCACACGGTTGGTATCGTAGTTCTCGATGGTCGAACTAGCAATAGGAGGGTATCAAGAGAATTCCGACCTTCTTGGATGTGCAAAACTCTTCTTGCACTGGCAAGAATCGTACACGGCAAATCATAGAACTCTATAATGAGATTTCTGTGAATAAAATAAGGAGATTTAATTAACAACATTCTGAGCTAGCGTGTGCCGACAGCTGTTGTCAACTTATTCTGGCTTTGAGCCCCCTTAATGCGAGGTAAGTAGTTGTTCAACGATCTAATGGACTCTGGTTCGTTCCTTACTTTTTCTAGACTTGGGATTGGCGTGTAACTGATGGGTAACGACATGTTCATCAGAAATGAGCACCCATGTATCCCATGTTTTGGTCCGTTAGGCTCCT